GTTTGTACGGTACTTAACAACCACGAAGGATAATCATTATGTCCAACATATGGCGCCTCATCGAAAAGCAATCAGATAGATTTGTATTGTTGTTGTTAAGTGCCTTCGAGTCAGTTACGACTCATAGCGACTCTGTATAGGGTTTCCGAGGAGCGATTGGTGAGCTTGAACAGCTGACCTTGCGGTTCAAACCGACTCTGCAGCGCCACGCCAGGATTTTTGTTGGGATGGGTCAAAACTACCAAACCCACAATGCAGTGCGGGCACCAAGGGGTCGCCTTCCTTATTAGCTGTCCGAGGCACTGCCTGTACGCGCTCCTGGAGAAATGTATATAGTGGGACTATTCATATCTTTCTATTTGCCGAATTCAAAATCAAACCTGTTGCCACTGAGTCAATTCCGTCTCCTATTGACTTCATATGGTAGGGCAGAACTGCCCCATAGGATTTCTAAGCTTGTAAACATTTATAGAAGCTGACTGTCACACGGCTAACTCCCAATCTGAAGAGATAAAGAGCTTTTTCTCTTATCCTCCTTGTCTTACTAGGCGGCGAGCAGGACTGGAACAGCGCTATTTGTTAGTTTAAACTGTAGTCAGGACCCCTTAAGGACCTTTGGCCTCTGACCTAAAATGGCGGCGCCCACTGGGGCGCTCTTGTTACTGCCTTGAAGTGAACTCAAGACCGTATCTTCGCAGCATGTCGAAGCTAAGCCGAGCTACTCGTGCCCTCAGAAAGCCCGAACCCGGAGGCGTGATCCGGACTATTGTGCGGGCGGGTCAGGCCATGCCTGGGCCCCCACTAGGCCCCATCCTGGGTCAGGTTCGACTGCGGCAAGAGCCGGCATGGGAGGCTTCGGAGGGTAGGGACGAGTGCGCAGGTGGAGGATGCGGGTTCTGAAGCCACGGAAACTTCGGTTCAAGGCTTGGCTCTGTTTCAAACGTTTTATGTCGTTTGTGTTTCTGAGGCGTGCAAATTCCCTGACACACAGAGTATTAGTGGAATTTGAGCAGAGGAAGGAACACAGTGGACTGGAGACGGGAAGGGACGGAGCCTCTTGCTTGGGTCGTAGGAAGTCGTCCATGTCAACACCTACTTTCTGTTTCCCTCAGCGAGGCGTTTCCATCAACCAGTTCTGTAAGGAGTTTAACGAGAAGACAAAGGACATCAAAGATGGCATCCCTCTGCCTACTAAGATTTTTGTGAAGGTACAAAATCGGTGCCCTCTCGTCCCTCCCTTCTGCCCCTTTGGTCTTGGCGCTGGTCAGCTGACGTGGGGCGTGTTTAGCGTTTAACTGTGTATTTCCCCTGCACTCCCTCCCCGTATGCGCCCTGTCACACTTGGTGCACGTCGCCTCTTTGTCCCTCCATCTCACCTGGGCTTCTAGAGAGGAGTTGGGCCTGGAATAGAAGTGTCAGGAATGTTTGCTGCGGATTTCTTTTTCCCTGTGGCTTTGTGATCTGTTAGAGGGACACCATGGGAAGGTGAGTTGAGGAAGGGGGAAAGCTTCCGTTAGAGAGGTTTCCTGGGCTGAAGCAGGCAGGAAGAGATAATCTTGTTTCTTCTTTCAGCCTGACAGGACGTTTGAAATCAAGATCGGACAGCCCACTGTTTCCTACTTCCTGAAGGCAGCTGCTGGGATTGAGAAGGGGGCTCGGAACACAGGTGAGGGCCAGCGCTGGCACCTGGGACTCGGGATCCTGGAGGGATGTGGTGATACCTGAAGGGTACGTGTGCTTTCCTCCCAGGGAAAGAGGTGGCAGGCATGGTGACCCTGAAGCACGTGTATGAGATTGCTCGAGTCAAAGCTCAGGATGACGCCTTCGCCTTACAGGATGTGGACTTGTCCTCTGTCGTCCGCTCCATCATTGGCTCTGCCCGCTCCCTGGGCATCCAAGTGGTGAAGGAGTGAGTGTCCTGGGGAGGTGGGCAGAGCTGACAGGCCCACGACAGTAGGAAAGAGAGCTGCGTGTTTTATTCGTTGGCCTGGGATAGATTCATTAAGTAGCTGGTGTGTGTTAGGTATTCTTGTGGACATTGGGTATAGCCAGGAATGAGCCAGGCTGGGTCCTGCACCTTAGGCAGTCAGAGTACAGGGGTGGTGGTGGGCGTAAGAGGCCGATCTGTGAACTAAGTGTTAGACTGTCTATGGTCAGCATTGAGTAACGGAAGTACAGCTGTCATGGGAGCAGAGACGAAGGGCCCTGGGTTTGCCTGGTGAGCTAGTGAGGGCCACATGGGCGAAGTGACATCTAAGCAGAGACTTGGACAAAGGGGGTTCTACCAGGTTAAGGAGTGGGGGAGAGTGTTCTAAGAAGCAAAAAGATCCCTGTGAAGACTGGAAGGTTAGAGACCAAGGCAAAGGGGGTTCAGTGTATAGTGTCAGGACTGAGCGGGAGATTCGGGATGAGGGGGGCCAGGCAAACACTTCTGTTAGCAAAGAAAGACCTTTCACATTGTTCTCTCAAGGGGGCCCTCCTCTTGGGTTTCCGATGACCTCAGGCATTGTTTGCTTGAAGGAAAATGATGAATGGTCCAATAGCAGCAGGGACAGTATAGTCCCATGATAGCCAGCACTGACCTCTTGCTGTCTGTGCCGTACTCCAGGCCAGGGCTGGAATTACCTGTTTTCTTAGAGAAATGGGGTTAAGCATGGAGCAGGGAAGGACATGACTTCTCTGCCCTTGACTTCTAGGAGTACAAGATGAGGAATAAATCCCTGTTCTGGGTGGATATTTGCATGCCTCAGTGACTTCAGTGTACAGTGTTTGGGGGTACAGAAGAGGGACCATTGAATCTGGATTGGGATAGAGCCAGGCCTCAAAGAATAAGTAGGGATTGGTAAGGGAAGAAGGCAGAAGTGGGGGGGTGGCATTCCTGGCCAAGGGAACCCGTGAACAAGGAATGAGTAAGGCTGGGAGGTCGCAGGGAAGGAGAAGGGCCAGGCAGGCTGGACCCTAGGACAATGATGGGATACCGGTGGGTCCCCAGCAGTGACTAACATTCACCTGTCGTCTGTTTTTCTGCACCGACAGCCTCAGTTCGGAGGAGCTGGCAGCTTTCCAGAAAGAGCGAGCAGTGTTCCTGGCTGCTCAGAAAGAGGCCGATCTGGCAGCCCAGGCAGAAGCTGCCAAGAAATGACCCCTTCCCCATGTCCTTGGATTTGGGAGGGAGTCACTGGGCAGGGGGTTGATCAGAAAGGTTATGCCAAAGGGACGGAGTGGGCAGGATTATGATTTCCCTGACTGTAAGTGTATGTAACTCTGGTTGGATCAAGGGATGAAGCCTGAATAAAAGTCCCTCCCCTGCTCACAGTTGTCCTGTTGGAGCCCAGTGTCACAGCCACGGTCTCAGTCCATCTCATTGAGGGTCTTCCCCTTTTTCGTTGACTCCTTACTTTACCAAACTTGTCCTCCAGGAACTGGTCCCTCCTGACAACATTTCCAAAGTACGTGGGATGACGGCTAGCTGTCCGGGCTTCTAAGGCACGCTCTGGCCATACTTCCAAGACCGATGTAGTTCGTTTTGCTGCAGCCCATGGTGTGTTTGGTATTCTTTACCCATAATTCAAATGCATCGCTTCTTCTCCAGTGTTCCTTAGTGTCCAGCTTACTTACACACATGTATATGAGGTGATTGAAAAATCCCATGACTTGGGTCAGACTCATCTTAGTCTTCAAAGTGGCATCTCTGTTCTTTAACACTTTAAAGAGGTCTTTGGCAGTAGATTGCCTATTGCATTATGTTGACTGAACATGAACTCTTGGCTTCAAGGTTGTAGATCCCCAGAAGAAGTAAAGTGTGAGTATGGATCTGTCCAAAGTAGAAGTTTCTGGAAAGCTCTATTATTCAGAAGGCTTGAAATCAATTAGTCCAGTAATGGAACATGCCAACAACAGTCTCCACGTCTCTGAGACCACAACTAGACAGTGCCCAGCTGCAACTACTAACTGCCCTGATCAGGATCACATTAGAGGGTCCCAGATAGAGTAGAAGAAAATGTGGGACAAAACTCAAAATTAGTTAATAATACAAAAACAGAAGACCAGGTTTACTGGTCAGAAAGAGATTGGAGGAACCTGAAACTGTGGTCCTTGACAACACTTCAGGTGTGGACTGGAACTCGCCCTCCTGGCCCAATCTTCACCCAGCAGGTACAGGATAAGCACTGGACCGCAAGGTCGGTTTGAACTGCAAGGTCAACATTCAAACTCACCAGCTATTCCTTGGAAACTCTGTACAGGGTGTCTATGAGTCAGACTCAATGGCACTTAACAACAATTATCAATAGTGGATAGGTTCATGGGGGGGGGAGGGGACACGATACAACAGCACTAGTAAGATTTGCTCACCATGAAACAATCATTCAAATCAAAAGGGCAACAGTTTCCTAAGGACAAAGTTGAGAAAGGATAGGCAGGGGGGGTGGAGTGCAAATAGGAACCACAGGAGGAAGCAGGAGAATTGTTGCTGCAGGGAGGGAAATGGAATCATTGAGATGAAACAAATGTAGGATTGGTTGAATGTAAAGTTGATGGTCTTGTCTGTAAACCACTCAATTCACAATAAAAAGTTAAAAAAGTGGAGCCATGCTTTTATGTATGAGCATGTATTCCACTCTTAACTTGGCAAATGTTTAAACATTTTTTCCATTGTTTGTTGTTGTTAAGTGCCATCGAGTCAGTTCCAACCCATAGCAACCCTGAACAGGGTTTCCGAGGCTGTAAATCTTTACGGGAGCAGAAAGCATCATCTTTCTCCCGCAGAGCAGCAGCTGGTAGTTTCAAACTGCTGACCTTGCGATTTGCAGCCCGATTCGTAACCACTACGCTACTATCTCTAAAATAAATTTTAATAACTGCTCAGTTTTCTGTCTTATAAGTGGCCCATCATTTATTTCCCCAGCCCAGACCTTATATGGGGTCTCTATGAGTCGGAATCATCTGGTAGCGTAGTGGTTACGAATCAGGCTGCGAACCTTAAGGTCAGCGGTTCGAAACCACGAGCTGCTCCACGGGAGAAAGATGAGGCTTTCTACTCCCGTAAAGACTTACACCTTTGGAAACCCTGTACAGGGTCGCTATAGGTTGGAACCGACTCGACGGCACATAACAACAACAACTATGAGTCGGAAGCGACTTGACAGCACTTACAAAAACATCTCCAATTTAAGGATGAACAAAGTGAGACCCTAAAGTTAAATGACTTGTCAGGGGTTCATACCAAACCCCACACTATAAAAACCAAAACCATTAGATGAAAAGCTATCCAACTCTGATCCAATGCACATGCCTACCTTCTTCCACTTCTTCCTGCTTGTCCATCAGAGACAAGTTCCTTTACCTCTGCTGAAGGTCCTGTCTCCTTTTGTTCATATATCACCTCTGCCCTCCCCCTTCCACCCCACCCATCACCAGTTTTCCCCAGATACACTGAAGTGTTTTTGAACTTTATATAAATGAAATACATAGGTCTGGCTCTTTTGCTTCATAATGTCCATGAGATTCATTGATTTATCTACCACCTGGCTGCTGTATTTTCCTATGTATCCTATATGTTCTGTATTTTTTCTTTCCTGCATTCTCTTAGATTACTCCAGTAGTTTGATTCTCCTAATTATGTTTTACTTAGATTTTCTATTTTAGTGGTTACATGAGATTTCAGTATGCAGCCTTGATTTCCTAAAATCTGTCTTAAGTTGTACTTTGATCACTCCCTAAACAATGAAAGAAACCTAGAATAGTTGGATTCTACCCCCATTTCCTGCCTTGTGCTATCGTTGTTATATATTTTAATTCTTGTGGGCTTTTGAGCATACGTAGAAAGACGATGCATGGCAGAATCGCACAGGGTGGAAAGAGCATAAATGAGTCATTATTGATTTAGGTAGCTAATAATGTTTTATATTTACCTGCGTAATTACCTTTTTAAGTGTTTTTAATTTCTTCCACAGTTCCATGTTCTCATTTAGGATAATTTCCTTCAGTCTGGAGAAATTCTGCCCCTAGAAGCAGTAGACATTTCCATAGAAGCAGATGCTTGGTGATTACAGCTCATACATGCAGGGCTCTTTCTTTTCTGAGATTGTAGCGCATCTAGTTCATGTTGCTTCCAAGGTCTGATGTCTTTAAGAAGCCTTGATGGCATGATGGTTAAACACTTGCCTGCTAACCAAAATATCAGTGTTTCAAAACCACCAGCGGCTCTGCAGGAGGAAACATCTGGTGAGCTGACCCAGTAAAAATGACCTTCAAGAAAATGTGTGGGAGAGAGAAGAGGAAGGGCTCACTGATCTGAAGTCTAGGAAGCTGTGTGAACTCCTGAGCCCAGGGGTACCGACCTAGCCCCTGGAGGTAGAGCTGACAGTGAAGCGGCCAGCTGGTCTGAAGTGTAGGGAGATATGTGTGAACTCCAAACCTGCAGCTAGTATCCATTTGACTTAGCTTGGATGGCTAGTTGAACAAAACTCAAACCAAGGAAGATGAAAGATGTTTGATACTGAGAACAAGTACAAATTGCTACAATTTGATGAACTAGATTTTCCCCTACCAATGCGGTGACTCAAAATTTCAACTGGAATGGGAGAATTCTTCATATCAGGGAACAGCCTTATTTCTTCAGTGTACTGGGTTGGTTGTTGTTAAGTGCCGTCAAGTCAATTCTGACCCATAGCAACCCTGTATAGGGTTTCCAAGGAGCAGCTGGTGAGCTTGAACCACCGACCTTGTAGTTCAAACGACTTTGCAGTCTGACGCATTAGCCCACAGCACCATACCAGAACTCTAAATTCAGGTAGGATGCATTTAAGGCCATATTTTGGATCGTGTGGACTTGTTTTTATTTTCTTCAGCTTCAGTCTGAATTTGCATATGAGCAATTGATGGTCTGTTCCACAGTCTGCCCCTGGTCTTGTTTTGGCTGATGATATAGGGTTTTTCCATCATCTCTTTCCACAGATGTAGTCAATTTCTGTGTATTCCATCTGGTGAGGTCCATGTGAATAATAGTCTCTTATGCTGTCTAAAGAAGGTATTTGAAATGAACAAATCATTGATTTTGCAGAATTCTATCATACGTTTGCCAGCATCATTTCTATCACTAAGGCCATATTTTTCAACTACTGATCCTTCCTGTTTGTTTCCAATCTTTGCATTCCAATCAACAGTAATGATCAATACATCTTGATTGCACGTTTAATCAATTTCAGATTGAAGAAGTTGGTAGAATTCTTTATTTCATCTTCACTGGCTTTAGTGGTTGGTGTGTAAATTTGAATAATAGTGGTATTAACTGGACTTCCCTGTAAGTGCATGGATATTATCCTATCACAGACAGCGTTGTACCTCATGGCTGATCTGGATATGTTCTTTTTGGCAATGAATGCAGCACCATCCCTCTTCAATTTGTCTCAAAAGAGTAAACCATGTGGTTGTCAGATTCAAAATGGCCAATACCAGTGCATTTCAGCTCACTAATGCCTAAGATATAAATGTTTATGCGTTCCATTTCATTTTTGACAATTTCCAATTTTCCTAGATTCATACTTCATACCACGTTCTGATTATTAATGGATGTTTACAGCTGTTTCTCTTCATTTTGAGTTGTGCCTGATCAGCAAATGAAGGTCCCTAGGGCTTTACTCTGATGGGCTTTACTCCATTCACGTCATCATGGTCAGCTCTACTTTGAGGAGGCAGCTCTTCCCCAGTCGCATTTTGAGTGCCTTCCAACCTGAGGAGCTCATTTTCTGGCACTATACAGTATTTCTCTGCTATTCATAAGCTTTTCAGTGACTAAATATTCGGAAGTAGTTAGTCTCTCACTTTTCCCGGTCTGTCTTCGTCTGGAAGCTCATCTGAAACCCACTGTGGATGGCCCTGCTGGTATTTAAAATACCCGTGGCATAACTTCCAGAATCACAGCAATTCACAAGCCACCGCAGTACAACAAACTGATAGGAGTGGTGGGGTCACCAGGGCAGCATGGGGGAAAAGAAGAAATCACACCTTTTCTGTCACTAATCTGCTCTGCCAGGCCTCCCTCAGCTGCCAAAACTGCTCACAGGATGGTGGAGCCGCATCTGGCTAGCTGTTCACCAGTCAGTCTTCCTCTCTCGTTGACCCTGCTTGGCCTCTCCTCTC